AAATGGGCGGGGCACCGCCCACTTATGATCACATATATGTATATCGGTAACCGTTCTACCAATTTGTACCAAACTCGGTGTGGTTATTGTGCTTGCCACATGAAAGCAAAGCGTTGAAAATTATTGAAGTCGGACTAAAATTACGGCCGCTTTTCATATAACGGTAAATTTCAGAAATGCTTGAAACTTCAATATTTCGAAATTGAAGGACGCCAATTTACTCAAAATTGATACGCCCCGGCTTACCATCTAGCGGTAGGTTTCGGAAAGGTGAAGAAACATATATTTAATACTTGCGCCGGGTATTTAATGTTCGGCTCCGCCCGAACTTAGACTTTCTTACTTATTTATGTATACATTTGTCTATATCTATCTCGATTCGTTTTGGCTGTTACAAACAACCGTTATGTGAACAAAATTAATATACCCTTGTGCACAAGTGCGCTCGGGTATAAAAATTTTTCACAAAGAATACTTCCAAGGACTCACCGACGGATGTATAGACAAATCTTGATAATTTTATGAAGAGATGAAATTAGATATATGAAATCAGCAACGTGAATGCAAATCACACCACGTCATTCTAATGGTTATAAGGCTTAAATAAATAAATTTAAATTGGTATATATGGGAGGTTTCTAAAGCTTAATCGATTATAGCTTTTGCCTTTCAAGCGCTTCTTTAAATAATTTATACGGAAATGCATCCTGCACTAAAAAAATAGCTTTTTCACATTTATTGGAAGGTCTATTTCATGGATGTGGGATAATAATTTTTCGGAGAACTTGGTGGTGCCAGAAATTACTTTGCCATTAAATATTTGAAATATCCAAGTTATTCAGCCTAACCTGCTCCGCTGGTGATTGGAATAAACGGACGCCTTCGTAAGTCCACGTTTTGCTACAAATTATATAGTATTTTTCCACAAAAATTCAAACAGAAAGTTAAAAAAAAACTAATTTTCCACAAAAATTCAAACTAAAAATTTTGGAAAAAACAATGTTGCAAGCAAATAATAAATGGCTAAATTGCCCCAGAAATATATGTTAATACTTCCAAAGACGCAACATATAAAACGTTCAACGAATAAAGGCAACATTTTGAAATAGGAGGCAGCCGAATGTCAGAAAATGAACAGAGAATGCTGCCTTATTACTTCACCTGTTTATTGCGCCATGGTATATATGGACTATTAAGGATACATATACGTTGCCAACTCTTTTGTTTGTAAACACGAGACCCTTCATATTGTCAACTTTTTGTTTATACAAATAATATTTAAGGTTATTCTAGTTACGAAATGGGTTATTTAAGAACAAGATCTCTTTCTGGCTGGTGTTATATGATATATTTAGTAAAAGAAGAAACAAACAAATTTACAGATGGAATCTGTTATAATTTGCCTATTTACAAAATATTATACCCAGTTTCGCCAATCAATTTTAAATTTATTAAGCCGTTATAATTTAAAATTACACTTTTTTTAATTTTAATGTTACTAATTTTTAAAATTGATTGGTGAAAACGGGAATCAGTGTTATATCTAAACATACTTATATAAGAAAGATTTCGATAGTATAGATAGTATGGAATATTTTGCACTATCCCCTGCAAAAAATGCCTGACTATATCGAAAATAAACTATCGATAGTACATTCACATACATACATAAATATGTGCATCAAAGAAACTTTTATTCATTGTTAGCTGTGGTGCAAAATATAAAAAAATTCGGCAAATTCAAAAGAAAGAATTAATAAAACTCAGTTTATTTAATTTGCATATATAAAAAAATTAACAAAAAAGGTTTTCTAACTTTATGTGGATGGAGAGAAAAGAATTTGAGGCTAGTGTGGGGACATACCAAAAAACTTGCGGAATTCGCTAAGGCCGACTGTGGAGGCAGTGACTCAGTGCTGGGACTCCAGCAGAACCTAGGAATGGGAGCGGAAGGACCACACGGCGCTGCGGAAATTCAGACTCCTATGAAAAATTATAAGAATTGTCTGAGCTCAGCTGCTCTGAAAAAGCTCGCGAAATTAATTTAATATTCGACAATATATTTTTACAAATAAATTAAAAAAAAACATTCAAGTTGTATTTTATAATTTGTTTTCATGTGTTTTTGGATATTTCGCTGCCATCTACTCACTTATTTATCAATTATTTAGAAGTTAGAATAGTGGTCAGAAAAATCACTAATTATCATGATATTTTCCCAATAGTTTCATCGCTAAACTCACTTGTACATGACCGACTAGATGACGAGTGAACATACTGTAAAGCAAATGCGCCCATGTGTGTGCAAGAAAGGGATGCACTTTTACACGCCCGTAGAAGTGGTCACTTTTTCCCCAAGCACATACAAAACTAACCGCTAAACTGACATTTTATTTCCCACTAATTTAACCGATAATCATAGGTCAGGCTTCTTGCAGGGTCACTATCCAAACTATCGAATGTATACACTATTGATAGTTTTCCAACACTATAGGGTACAGAGATTTCTGGAGACCTGTCAGTTTCATCGTAAGCGAGATGCTCGTCGCAGAGAAATTTTTGTACTTGAGCATTTCAAAAAGTGCTTACGAGTACATTTCACATGACGAAAATTACTGTATTCACAAAAATGTCAAATATTTTATTGAAAAACAAATCTTTATAAAAATTTATAGTTAAAGCAAGCTGTCAAACTAATTATTTGACAGTTCAACGCCTGCGATAGCTCGCAAGCGTTATCTCATGCTATCGATCTCCTGCGATTGCTATGAGCGGTCTCCACAAGCGATTCATCGTCGGAGATGTATCGCAGCAGATGAACAATCGCTAATGGAGGCAGGAAGTAAACGTCGCGACAGTTAGTTCAGATCGATCCGCAATCAAGTTGGGAATTTTGCCCACAAGTTTGTATAGCTGTGCATACGTCGCTTTCTTTCTTTTTTACTATACTATATCTCCCTTCTTAAGGTATTGGCCCAATGCAGGCTTGCTTTGCTTGCCTCGCTTTGAGAACTGTCAGAAGCTATTTGGAATATACTAAAACGTATGAAGGCTGGCCAAATGGCAGCTTTGCTTCACTTGCTTTAAGCGCCTCAAAGTTTCAAATAGGCAAATGTTTTATTTGAAAGCGCTTTATAGGCTTTTGACAAAAAGGTATGTTCCCGTTCTAAATGAATTCAAACTGTTGCGTTCTTTTATGAACAAAAATTTGCTCACGTAATTAAAAAAAATATATATAATGTAAGTTATACAAAGTTTAATAAAAGTGATTATATGTTTCTATATTTGCATTTAACATATCGCTGACTGAAAAGTTGCTAAGTCCATTTTTACAAATTTTACAGGAACTTTGAATACAACATTTTGCGTGTTTAAAGCAAAGCAAAACTCCATACGAATCAAAAGGATTCGATCTTTATTAAAAGATTTCGTATTATTTTGGCCTTATCGGATTTTCGAAGCCTCTTCTGGACTTAGAAAATTTGCCTTCTATTGAATATAAATGAGAAAAAATAAAGCAAGTACCTTAATCCCTAATTTCTCTTGCTTCCTATATCATGAGGTTTCACAAATTGTGGACTTAGCAACTTTAACTTTAACTTTATTTGAAATTTGTTTGATGTTTTCGCACATTTATTTATAATTAATAAATTTACTGATGATTAAAAAGTTTTGCAACGGAACAAATCCTTAAGATTTTTCTCATGACCAGACGTTATATTGGATCCGTCGACCTATCTCGGCAGCCAGTTCGAAAACGCCCTATCTCAGAAAACTTTTCAAGAACGCCCTACTTCCGAATTTGATTGAAAAACGCTTTATCTAATAATTTGGTTGAAGAACGCCCCATATCAGCGGCCGATTAAAAAATCCCTATCTAATTCTGAGATAAGGCGTTTTTCAATAAAATTCTGAAACAGGGTGCTCTTCAATAAAATTCTGAAGCAGGATGATCTTAAAAAGTTTCTGAGATAGGGTGTTTTCGAACTGGCTGCCGAGATAGGTCGATCTTCCACTGANTGATAGGGCGTTCCTCAACCAAATTCTGAGATAAGGCGTTTTTCAATAAAATTCTGAAACAGGGTGCTCTTCAATAAAATTCTGAAGCAGGGTGATATTAAAAAGTTTCTGAGATAGGGTGTTTTCGAACTGGCTGCCGAGATAGGTNTTCTGAGATAAGGCGTTTTTCAATAAAATTCTGAAACAGGGTGCTCTTCAATAAAATTCTGAAGCAGGATGATCTTAAAAAGTTTCTGAGATAGGGTGTTTTCGAACTGGCTGCCGAGATAGGTCGATCTTCCACTGAGGTGACGATATACAAATTTCGTTATTGCTTAATGTTTTGTATACGTACTTTGCATCTGAATATCAACAGCTCCTTGAATGCTTTGCAATGCTAATGTACTTTCACTACGAAGATTGTGTGAGCAGCAAAAGTTTTTAAAATCTGAACAAGGATCCAAATTCCAATTAACTTTAGCTTGAATATTTGTAGAAACGAGTTTACAAATAGTTTCTGAACATTCTGGCGTTGGAGACGGTGTGGGATTACATTCATCATCAGTAGAAAAACATTCCCTTGGAAGACGCGAAGGAGCAGTACTTATTAAAAATAAAATCGGGGACGCTACCAACAAAGAAGTTACCAAGAAAGTTGCTGCCGTTATCGCGATTTTGTGAACTGTTGTAGACGTGCGTAACCAAATGCAAGGAGCGCAACAAATCCAGCCCAAAGTTTCATTCTGCAAATACATATACACAATACATAATATAAATTAATATTTTGGAAATTTAGTTGTTGATATTGAAAAAAATCGATTGCTATGATAATAACATTTAGGGCTGGTTACTTATTGTTTGGTTAACACTAACTGCAGTAGGGATTTTCAAAAAAGATCGGTGTTTCTAAAAACTGGTTGTTTTAAATTTGGCTAATTACCTTTCTTAATATTTTTTTTTTTAATTTAGGTATTAATCGTTTTTTTCTTTTTAAACCGAAAACCGAAAATTCGATTTTTACATTCACCAGCAGTGTAATACCATGTTCGGACCGACATCAAAAACGTGTTTTCGTTGCTATAACTGGTTTTCGGTCTAAAACTTGTGTTTTCGTCCATGTAAAATCTGTCAAACGAATACCAGTTTTCGCTGAAAACCACTTGAAAACTCACGTTCCACTCATTTATTTATCGAATTGGAAGTCATATTTTATCATCTTTAATACGCTAGTTGGGATTTATTGTCAATTGGCTGGCCAAATTAAAATATGAACAAGAGAAAAAGGTTGCTAATGATAATAAAATTATAGACAAATATTTTTATTTTTGTTTTTCGTAGCAAAACTGTAAACAAAGGATGAAAGAGACGTCATCGAAAACATTAACTGCCGGTTCGAATAGCTTTCAGCCCACAATCCCAAAACTCGTTTTCAAAACGTTTTCGTTCGCGGTCCGAACATGGTATAAGATAACGATTTTGTATATCTTGGAGATAATAATTAAATTTTATGGCATACCAAAACTTCAAAGTGACTACTAAATTTTTTGCTGATCTGGAAGTTAAACAAAATCGATTGTGAAGTCGCCTTGTTTTCATTAGGTCATATTTGAAGTCAAATGTTGTTACAATAATGAAAACGGGTCGCCTTCTGGTGGCATTTGCGTATGTTGTCATATATCACCACGCACGGTCATATAAAACGACAGCCAAGTGGAAACGGCACTCGCCGCTGATGTGGCAGCATTTGACAACCGAAATGTATTTGCCAACATGTTGCAGATCGATTGAACTTTCAACGCTGATGAAGAAAATATAACAGGCTAAACTTCAAGTTTCCTATTTCTTTTTATGTTTAATAGCTCGGAAACTACTTGACCGATTAAAACAGTATTGATGCCAATTCAAAGATAATTTTATTACCTTTTTTACGAAGTATTTACTACATATAACCATTTTTAAACCAAATTGTAGGTAAATGCCATTTAAAAAAATATGTATATACAATTTCGATTTTTACCGCTACTTTCGTTAAATTTTGCCTTATAAAAAACCTTTCTATATAAAACAATAACTTGTACTTTCTAAATAATATAAATTTATGTAGCATTAATCATGCAATTTTCTTCAAAAAAGGTAATTTTATGAAAAATTTCATTTTTTTTGTTTTTTAGTATATTTGACTTAAGAATATAAAAAATAATAAAAATTATGTACATCGACTGAAAGATAAGCCAATCATCTTTATTTTGACATCATTAGTTGTTTAATCGGTTATGTAGTTCATAAGATATTGATATTTCAAAATATCGAAAAATTTAACTTAACCTCCTATATCTTCTTAATTTTTTACTTGCGTTAAATAAATTTGGTAAGGTTGAAATCAGCATGAAGAGTTCTATCCAGTTACAGTTTTGTTAGTCTGTAGCTAAAAGGTCGGTATTCTATACGTTTTGTAAAAATTTAACTTCGCATTTGACATCAGTAGGGTTGCCAGATTTTTTATGCGCGAAATCAGTACGTTAGACTTTTTCATTCTAAAAAAATCAGTACTTTTCAGTACATTTTTATTCAAAGCAAAATTATGAATGTAACATATAATAAGGGTTTGAAAAACTGTCAGCACAGCAGCAAAAGTTTTTATTTTTTCTTTTGCTTCGCTTTGAAATTTTTGATTTTCATTCGAACGGCTTCGCTTTTGCTGTGATTTTGAAAATTGTATTCTTTTTATCGGCAGTTTATTGAAAAAAACGTATTGCTTTCGGTTTACTGTGATTGTCTTTTGCTGTGCTGTGATCTGCTTGACTGTGATGTGCACATGAAGCTTTGCAGCATGGAGTGTATCTACATATGTACATACATAACATGTATATGATTTAGCTGACTCGCCAGAAGTGAGTACTAGCCACAAAATTTGCGATACCATTTGCCTTCCTTTGCCTAACGAATTTAACATGGCGATGTCATTGGAACCTTCCGAGCGCTACACGTGCCATGACCTTTCGCTAGCGAGTTGCCGTACAGTCAGTAATGTATGCAATCTTTATCTTATGCTCGTGTCTTGTCACCAGTAGCACTGCATACATATAACATCTTCTAAGTTATAGTCAAATTTGTATTGCTTTGTGTTGCTTCCCTGTCGTTGTGCTTCCACAAATTACTTTTGAACTGTCTGATTGCCTTAGAAATTTCACAGCAAAATGGCAGCCAAAGCATTTGCTTTTTTTCTGAATCGCTGTTGCTTTGCTTTATCATAAATCCCGAAGTCAAATCACAGCAAAAGCAAATTAAATTAAAAAAATTACAACATTTTTAAACCCTGCATATAATACTTAAAAACGCCAGAGTACTTGTTATACCTTTCATGAGCATGAAATTGTATTATAACTTTGGTCCGATGTTTGTAAGTACCAAAATAAAAAGAGATAGACCCATTAAAATGTATATTTATATGACCAGAACGTCGAGCTGAGTCGATTTAGCCATGTCCGTCTCTTTGTATGCAATCTAGTCTCTCAGTTTTCGAGATATCCGGATAAAATTTGGTAGGTGGGTGTATTTTTATAATGTATTAATCATTTGTCGGAACCGGATAAATCGGACCACTATAACATATAGCTCCCATACAACTGATTGTTGATATGAGATTTTTCGTTATAACTTTTCCATTTATGCAGCTAGGAACATGAAATTTCGCATCATTTTCACTCATTATTAACAGAATACTTACAACATATATAACATATTTGTATCTTCCATACATCTGATTGTTCAGATATGAGATTTTTCGTTATAACTTTTCCATTTATGCAGCTAGGAACATGAAATTTCGCATCATTTTCACTCATTATTAACAGAATACTTACAACATATATAACATATTTGTATCTTCCATACATCTGATTGTTCAGATATGAGATTTTTCGTTATAACTTTTCCATTTATGCAGCTAGGAACATGAAATTTCGCATCATTTTCACTCATTATTAACAGAATACTTACAACATATATAACATATTTGTATCTTCCATACATCTGATTGTTCAGATATGGGATTTTACTGTAAAACTCCTTTATTTGAACAGCTAAAACCGATAAATTTCGTAAGATATTTTATAAATAATAATACAAAGTCTACTGAGAAAATCGTCAAAATCTATGCTGTATAAGCTTTATCTCCTATAGCACTGATTGTTCAGATACCAGTTTTTGCGATATATCTCCTTTATGTAGGAAACTAAACCCAATAAATTGTGTTACCGGTTTACATACCGATCACATAGCAGTGAAAATCACTTAGATTGGTGCCATATAAAGTATATCTTCCATACCTCTGATTGTNGTACTTATAATTCAACGCTGAGCTGCCGCCGTTTTGAAAAAATCGTTCCATGTACAATGAATTAAACAGTGTAAAATTATATAGGAAACATCTTAAAAACATGTATTTAGAAACTTAGTATTATTATAAAATATTCTAGTTATTTTATCACATTAGTAATATAAAATATAATAAATTTGGTTGCAACTGCCACCAAACGATGCGGCGTTAAATTTAATATAAGCGGCGTAAGTCTTTTCGATCAGCTGTTTAGGCTAAGCCCAACACGTTGAGTTCAGGTAGCGTAAACATTTTCCGCTGGAAAAAATGGCGGAAAGTTGCCAACTGTTGAGCTGAGCGGAACTACTCAACTGTGCATTTCTAAGACAAATAGCCAACGGTTGGGCAACAGCTACGTCTTATAAACGCGGCCAATGTCAATAAATTGAGACAAAATAATTGTAAGCTATAGGCAAAAGAAATTAGAATATTCAAATTTGTTATTATTAAAATGAAAATTATTTTCGAGTTAACTAGCAACACTCGACAAAACAATGTCAGCCTTGAAGAAGTGAATAAAATCAGTACAAGAGTTTAAAAATGAGTACTGTACTGATAAAATCAGTACGTCTGGCAACCGTCGTTGGCCAGTTTTTAAAATGTAATGGAAACGCCTTTGACACCAAATGAACAGCTGTCAGATGAAGGCAGTTTTTGATGTCAGTGATTTTGACCTAATGAAAACCAGCCTTGAATATTGTCTTTAACTGTTAAAAAGAACATAACTCCATTCAAAATAATTATAATTATGGTTTCTGAATTAAAGTTTGCTTTTGTACAAATATGTATGTCAAATCCTTCAATATATTTCTTATTTTTTGAAATGAAGATATAAGATGAATAAATAAAATAAGGTACAAATAATTTTTTGAATTGATTGGCGATGACAGCAGAAAGAAGATAGTGCAATATATAAGTCAGTTAAAGTTGGGGGCCGCACGGCGGCCCGAGTTGTCCTTCCTAAAATAAAAGACAATAATTAGTTTTGTACAAGTGTATTTACCATCTGTTCCCGCTGTCCAAAATGGAATGAACACACCATATTTCTTAATACTCTGACTTAGTGTCTAACCGGCTGAATTAACTGCTGACGCTGCGCTTCCCATAGATTCAATTATGCTAACGCATGTTCGATTATTTTTGTATACGAGTTCAATTACCCGCACTGGTTATGCGCGTGTTCACATTGTGCGGCGTCAGCACATTCACACAGGTGTTGTGTTCCGTTCGAGTATACGGATGTCGATCCGTGTTCTATAGCCTCGATTGAGTTTTGGTATGGTAAGGACTCCTCTTCGAGTATAAGTCTAAGGATTTCCTCTCGATCAAGCAGGTTCGTGTTTACAATTCGCGTTTTTGCAATTT